CCTGGCTTTATGGTTTGTCCTGTGGCATGTCTTCATGCTTTCTGGGGGAATCGCCCGGTGGGTGAGGGTCCTTTGTTGATTCATGGGGATGCCAGTTTCTTGTCCCATTTTCAATTTATCAGGGTTTTCTGCATGGTTTTGGAGGTTTTGGGGCTGCCTAGCGCAGAGTTTGGGGGACACTACTTTAAGATTGGGGCTGCTACTGAGGTGTCACACTTAGGGTTGGCTGAGGAGGTAATCCAAAGGATTGGGAGATGGAAATCGGGAAGGTTTTGACAATATGTTCGTCCAACTGGACTGATTCCATTTCCCCTTTTGTCTTTATAGGGGCCAGAAAGTGAGTATGGGTCATTGGACATTCTTACATCCATTGTGCGCAGCTGAGGGCTCAATTGGGCCTGTTGCAAGTGGTGGCAGAAGTCCATTGTCTCGGTACCTGGGGGATGCGGTGGAAGCAGCTGCTGCCCGAAGTGGTCCATTTAGCTGGCCAGCTCGCTGTTCCTGATGTCATTTTAATACAAGTTCCCGGAAGTGACGTCACGCGCATGCTCGTGCGTGCGCGATGACGTCACGAATATGGGATCGATTATTGGCAAATTGAATATACACACCACTCTTCCACAGGAGCACCCGTGATTGGCTGTATCACGATCTCCTGCAACCAATCTACGCACAGATAGGGAAATATATTTGTAAAAGAGCAGAAGTAAATCACCAATTGAGAAAGCCGAACGGAATCAGTGAAACGCATTTTGGACACACCACCAATGTGAATGTATTATATTTGATTTTTTAAAGATATTTGAATAGAATAAATATATATATTTTTAATCAGAACATACCATCTGGTGGATCATTTATCCTGCTACAAGAAGGGCAGAGTCACCCTAGAACAGGACTCATATACTTAGAGCCAAGTGACAGGCTCTTTTTAAGATGAGAAGCAACCTGTATACCTTTGCATTGTACCATACTTGATTAAGGAATTCTGCACCAGGGCAAGTTTCCCTGTCTCCCTTCCCTCCTTTTTCTGTTTACATGTCTCTGAGGAATATCCTATACGTGGACCCATAGGGTGTGTGCCACCTCAAGTGCACAACGGCGCAAGTGATTAGAGCCAGTCCATAATAGGCTCTAGACCATGTGAGTGCTTCCAATTGAAGTATATACTTCCACTCTAAGTTTAATAGTGTCACACTATATATCCTTCTTTTTTTTCTGCAGTCATCTGCATAATTCCCACATCCCTATATCATTTTGGGAGTAATTCACCTTCAGCACTACACACTTTCACTAATTTGACACTTGTTTGTTGAATAGTGTTTTCTTTTGTACCATTTTAATACATGCTGGTGGAAACAATCTTGGCACTGTTCCGGTGGGGGATCTGATGGAGTAGATCCAGAAGGATTTGGGGGAGAAGATCAAGAAGGATTTGGGGGAGCTCAGGCTTCGATTTTCGAGGGTGTTTTTAATATGGCCCGAGGTGCCTTCTATAAATTTCTGGCAAGGGGCTAGGGCCCCTAGCTCAATAAGAGGGTCTCACGTTGTGAGGGGAATGAGGAGGCTCACGTTGCATCATCGCATCTTTGAGCGTAATGCTTCTATTTATTTTTGCAGTGATGGGGTCCACCTGATGGATTTATATAATTTAGCTTTGCAGGAGGCTTTGGAGGAGGCCATGGCTGTGGTGGTGGGGCTGCCCTGCTGATTTAGGGGGTAAACCAGTGGGTCTTGTGGCGGTATATGGTCCTTGTCATCCAGGGGTTGGACCAGCGGTCTGTGGAAAGTGGATGGGTAGGGCTGTCCCTCCCCTAACCTCAGGTTCAGTGATGGATAACGGATGTGCCCACTGAGCCAACTAACCGGCTAGTGGTTAGCATTACGCAATGGTAGGCCCAAGAAAAGGCCTTGTGCTGGTTGGAACGAGGGGGGAAGGGGCAGCTGCCCTTAAGTTATGGTTGGTTGGCAAGGTGGAACTCAGTGACGTATCTATTTACTGAGTAATTATGTATATAGTCTTTTATGTTATAAACTTGAAGTTTAAAGATTTATATAACTTATATTTTAATAAAGCTGTGGTCTATTTTAATCCAAAGCAAGTCTGGTGTGTTTCATTGGAGCAAAGGTTGGGTTTATCAAGGGGTTAGGTTTATGCCCATACACAGTTACCCTCTACCTAAGTTACTGTCTCCATACAAGGAATGATAAATACTATCCCATTACAGTAAAACAATATACCGTATATACTCGTGTATAAGTCGATCTCATGTATAAGTCGAGTGCAGTTTTGTGACCAACAATTGTGAAATATGCTATGCCTCGTGGATAAGTCGAGGGTAAAACTTGGGGCTATGAAATTCTGTGATTTTTATAATTATATACACACACACTCATACAAACACACACTCTGCATATATATACACACACTCATACAAACACACACTCTGCATTATATATACACACACACTCATACAAACACACATTCTGCATTATATACACACATACTCTCATACAAACACACACTCTGCATTATATACACAGACTCTGTGTATATAATGCAGAGTGTGTATATAATGAAGAGTGTGTGTTTGTGTAGTGTGTGTGAACTGGGTGGGGGGAGGGCATTTTTATTATTTTAATTTTTTTATTTTAATATTATTATTTTTTTATTGTAATTTTTTTTTTGTCCCCCCCCCTGCTTGTTAACCGGTCAGGGAGGGGGGCTATCTTAATCCCTAGTGGTCCAGTGGCATGGGCTGTGAAGTGGGGGGGGCCGGCAGGAAGCATTTCCCTTTCCTGCAGCTCCTGTCAGCTCCCTTCTCCTCCGTTCCGGTCAGCTCCACTGTAAGTCTCGTGGTCTGGTTGCCGCGCGGATCGTTGCCACGGCTCTGACAGCCGCGGCTCTCTAAGTTGCCATAATACAGACAGTGACTCGAGTATAAGTCGAGTGGGTGTTTTTAAGCACAAAAAATGTGCTGAAAAACTAGACTTATACTCGAGTATATACTGTAAGCCTAATTCGAAGATATGTATGTATGACTACTTTTAAGTCTACTTTGTCCTGGAAGAAATTAACACCATACCACAATATAAAGTGATGAGGAGTTTATTTGCTAAAACATCTAACTCTCAATTTTTTTTATTTTTTATCTTGGTTATTTTTTGATTTTTTTTTTTTTTACCAGTTTACCACAGTTTATTGTGTAGTGTTTAACTCCAAGATCTCGATTTATTTTAATATGGTATTTTTAAATTTATTTTTTTTTAACTCCAAATTATAAGTAAGAGCATGATTGAATGCAGATACGAAAGGCTGAATTTCTTGTGTTTGTACCTTCCAACTATGTATTTTGTAGGATTGTTCTCTAGGTTGAGTTCAATGTAATGTCACAGATAAAATCATGGTTCTAGCAATGTTTGCAACAAAGGCATTTGATACAAAAAAATAAATAAAACAATTGCAACCAAGCAAATAAAAAGCTTTTCAAATATGAAAATCTAAACATACAAAAAAACATTAAAATGGCTTTGTTTTTTAAAACATTATGTAAACAATATATAGATATAGGACAAGTGCAAGGATTTTTGGATACATAGTAGAAAATGTATTTTGCAAACTCCCCCCTCTCTCTCCCCACACATCTGTGAAGGGCACAGTTACTACATTTACACAGAAACATTAAATGCAAACGCAAAGATTATGTCATTATTTCACCCATGCCATACAATACAGTGATTTTGTTGCAGTGTAAGCATGCAGAAGCCAAACACAGAAATATTGGACACAGGTCTTCAGGAAGTAACAGGCCTTTATTCACATTACCGATCGGGTCTCAGATGAACTCCTGTTCCAAAGGATCTGAGAGACCAACACATGGTGTACATTCCTTATATAGCACTATAACTCCTCCCATTAATAGCTACACCCACATATACCTTTAACCAATCAATGAGCAGAATATAGACTTGTACATCTAGTCAAACCACATGGCTCATCCAAGACAAAGGAAATAAGTGCAATTTCAGTTCCTGCATTCCTGCACATGCTCAGTACACTGATGACAGTATCCTAGCTACATGTAGCTAACCAACTGACACAACATACACATATGCCACATGGAGATTTTGGCCTACTAAATTTTAACCATGCTGGAATCCCATCACATTCCCCCCTTTGATGCCTCTGATATAACATTATTCCAGATGCATCACCAATCACAGTTTTACCTACATCTCTCAAGTAGCCATTGAACCAGAGTAGACCTTGTAAGCATCTTAAAAACTCCTTCAACATTCTTCATCCTGAATATATTCTCTTCGGGCTAGGGGATCATATCTTCCAGACAGCCATTACATGGGCAGCTGTCTTTCTCTCTATAGTACTCTCTATAATACTATGTAGGGACCTTACCACTAGTGGAATTAGACAGGGCAGGAGGAGGCACAAAAAAATATATAATAAATTCTACTCCTCCTACTAATGTCTTAATTCCTCCAAGCTGCTCATACCAACTTCCAAACCAACTACTTAGGTTATACCCATTCCAGTCCTGAGTAGGTACATGCTCAAATTTAACCATGTGGCTTGTAAGTTCAGCCACTGCCTGCCCTTCATCATCTATGTGCAGACAACAGTTACTTAGATTAAACTTTCCGCATACACCTCCTTCTACTGCTAGTAAGTAATCAAGGGCTAGCCTATTCTGGTATATGGCTGATCACATCTTGGTATTTTGCTTAGCTAGAAGATTAAGCACTTGAGCTGTGTCATTAGTAATAATCTCAACTACCGCCCGTAGTCTAATAATGCGGTTGAGCATATATAATCGTAGTTCTATATCCATAAGTGCCATCTTCTGCCCAAGTAGTAGGTCCATAATAATTAATAATACGTTGAGGGGGCCACTCATTATCTTCCCAGCTACCTGTATTCAAGGATGCTCTCTCCCTTTTATGATTTACATCGTAAACCTTAACTCCCAAGGTCTCTCCTGTTTCGATTGGCAACAAGAAGAAGGATGGCTTTGGCATACCTAATACACATGCCCCTTCCCAATCTTGTGGTAACTCCGAATAAGTTTTCTTACCACAAATCCAGTATAAATTTGCTGGGGCTTTCCAACTAGATGTAGCCGATAAGTCAAACCATACCTCCTTTAAATGAGTGTAATTGGCAAACGGATTAGTAGGCTCCGAGACATTTGAAGCTGACCACCAAGTAGTATTTTAGTATTAACATTATAGGCTTTTTGTCCCAAGCAAGTTAGCTCACCTACAGACGTGTTATACATTGTCCCTTTCCTGGCTATACAAACATGACCTATAATGGAGGTTTTAAACCACCATTCCAATTTACTTCTAGTACTTACTTGATGATCAGACTGGAAAGGTATCTGTTGTTCATATGTCTCAGAGCCAGGGTACCATATTTCCTTTGCCTCCCATGGCCACTGGTCTCCCATATTAGTACCTCCACACACATAGCAATTAGTTACATTAAGACTACCTGCAATACCCTCAGCCAAATCAATAAATAGGTTGTTAACATTATGGGGAATTTTATCCTCAGTACTCATCTCCTCATAGAAGGAATGAGAAACCTGATGAGTTTGAGTTGCCACTGTCTCAGTTTCAAGACCTACATATATTATTGTTCCTGAATCTACTCCTGTGCCATATATTTGAAACCCAAACAGACCTCCAAACCTGTCAATAAAGTACTGCAGATTGGAAATGGTCATGTGAACGGGGTTACACACATAGTTTTACAGTATGGTGTGGTAGGCAACCTTTGGATAATCATATCTTGATCCACTGTTTTTCCCAGGTTGCCCAACCTACACATGACAAATAGGGGCAGAAGTTAGTCTCTATTTGGGCAATCAGGATCAGTAGATCTTATACTGGGACATAAGTATTTATCATTAAACCCATAAGTTCGTTCCCATTTAAGATTACCACATACATTCCAAAGTCTTCCACTACCCGAAATCGCCTTACATGCATCAAATAGTAGAATACCCGCGGAATGTATGGTGCTTATCACAGTCCTATTTATTAATGTCCCCTGGGAGTTACTATTCCGAATTACCAACCAAATTGTATGGGGTTGGAAATGGGGATCAAAACATTTAGACTCTCCTGATATTGGCTTGCACACACTATAATCAATATCCAAATATCTACATTTAGATACAGATCCCTTACATTCATACTGTGAGTGCTAGATGAGAGTTTGGGATATTTGGTTACCTGTTTTAGTAGTCTTAATGCAACTATCGCAATTTGGTATGTCTGTACTCCTACCTTCCTGAAAAATCATAAAAATACTAAGACACAATAAAACACATTATTCCTGAAATCCTCATTTTTCTTCGACCGTGCGATGGCCTCTCAGCTTCCCGATTGTGAGGGCTGCAAGGATGTTGTTCTTCTGATCCTCACTTTCCTTCACAGAGATCCCTTCAAGATACTCTGGCTATGACACGTAGGCAGGTGGTCAGGCTTTATTATGGCCGTCAAAACACCTACTTGATGATCTTTGTAGACTTTTAACTAGAATGTCTCGATATCCCCTCGTCACTCCGACTGAGTTGCACGCTTCAACCGGGTCCTGCAAGGATTCTCAGGATCTGGAGTAGTTTGCCAAGAGTCTGCTGCTGGTTTAACCTTAGAATGATGAATCCAAGGAGTCACTTCCGCCACCTTTACAGCTGTTGGGGTAGATAAAAGAACAACATACAAAGGCTAACAGGATACACCCCGAGTTTTAACTCCATATGTATTGGTGGGATATTACGAGCAAGTCCTGGAGGATTATTTTCTTCCCATACTCCTGGAATGTCAAATAAGGATTCATCACTCTTAGGGTTAACACTTGTCACTATGGAATAGAAGCGTCATTCTTCTTCCCTTGGCACCGATATCACCATTATGCCTGGTAATCCCTTAAACTTCAGAGATGTTAATCCATTAGGTAAAAGGTTATCTGAGCTTAAAGCTTCGATAATAGATCTCGTCCTAAAAGTTGAATCGGACACTCTGGCATATATAGGAACTAATGCTTCACCACATGGCCTCTCAGAATACAAGTGCGACTCTTAAGAACCGGTCTAGCTGCACTTCTCCCAGTAGCTCCTATCACAGTTATAGTCTTCCCCGAAGGCGGAGCCACCATCTTAGTCACCACAGAATGTTCAGCACCTGTGTCGATCATGAAAGAACTTCTCTTTCCCCCTATTGCTACATCGACCATAGGCTCGGCTCGACCAAGTGGGATGGAGCCCAGTCGGTATCAATAGTCTTCCATGATTGTGTCAGCCAGACCCGCAAAATCTCTATCCTCTCTTTCTCTAGGTCTCTGCGTGGGTGGATAGTATCTGTCTCCTTGAACACTTCCTCTACTATTCCCACCATTCCCTCTAAAACTTCCTCTTCCTCTATAACTACCACTATAACCTCCTCGTACCCTTCTCTCTCCTTGTCTATCACCTTCATACTGCTCTCTCTGTGGACACTCACTCTTCCAATGTCCCTCCTTTCTACAATACGCACATTAATTCCTACTTAAAGTCCCTTGCTCAGCCTATTCTCGTCTCCTCTATTCACTTCCCTGTCTTTCTACACTTAAGATAGCTACCGCTAGCATATCTGCCTTTTTCCTCATTTTACGTTCTTCCTCCATCTCCCTATTCATATATACTGTATTTGCAATCTCCATTAGCTGTATTATGGACATCCCTACAAATCCCTCTAATTTCTGTAATTTCCTTTTACTATCACCTTGGGCCTGGCTGACAAATGCTGAGTCTATCATTCGGAAGTTTTCAGGGGCCTCTGGATTAAAGGGAGTATACAACCTATTTGACTCAAGCAGTGTCTAATATGGGACTTCGGCAAGGCTGCCCAATAATAGGTTCCAGTCTAGGATTAGTAAAATAGGTGAAAGGGGGTGAGCTAATTTTATTAGTCAGCATTTGGTGGATGCAAAAAAACGTTTTTTTTAAAGTGTTAAACCAAAAACCTACCAGTAGGTGTCACCAGAGGGTAATTGTATCAAAATAATCTTTATGGGTCTAATAAGAAAACTCAACTTTTAATATATTTATACATAAAATAAAACCTTATAGCAATAAATATATTAAAATAGGGTAAGCAATCCTACATCTATCTGTTATAAACAATGTATTATCAATGTAACTCCCGAAGATGGCCAGTAGGTGGCCTAGAGTGCCTCCCTAAAGTCAAATGAAACAAATAGACTTTAATTAATTATGTCCTATTTTATTATTACTTATTTTAATCAATGTCCACCCTGCTAGCTAGGCTTGATTAAATCTTTAGTTCTAAGGTAAATTAAACATTTCAGTTTGTAGTTTAGTAAAAGGGGACATTTTGGACAAAGCTGGGAGGGGCCCATCCAGTAATTAAAAAAGACCATATACCATCTGATACCATTGATACCATTGATTAGGGGGAGGGGTAGTACAGAAATACAAGAGTTTGAAACACAGGAACAGATAGGTATGTGGGTAGGCGGGGACAGTAGAGCAGGGGGAGTGCAAATACTGACTATATACCAGTTTTGGGAGTAAGAAATGGGCGTGGCTACTCTGGCTCTGGAGGATGTTTGGGGGGTTGGTAATCAGATGCCAGGGGGGGAGGGGATATCCAAAGCAGTTGTAATTAAGTCCTTAGTTCTGACCACCATATGGCTACATTGTTTCCCATATGACACAGTTTAATTCACCAAGGCAATTTTTCAACAAATCAGTTTCCAACAGTCAATATATAGAAACTGATCATAGAATTCCAGCCTACTAGTTACAGCCACATGTACACCCTGCACTAAATTTAAGTGAAGACTGCTACATGGAGGCCATGCGGCCACCAGGACAAGCTACTCCCTACTTTTTTTTTTTTTTTTAAACATACAAGACAAAGCCTTGTGAATCAGAAGATTATTTCAACAGAGCATCTGATTCAAAAAGCTGTACAAATATACACACAGTTTCAACAGTCACACCAATCTCCTTATCACCAGCAACACATTGCGCAGTCACTAGGCCCAAACACACACACAGGATCCTCACATGCTCAACAATATCACGACGTCGCACACACAAAATTAAATCAAAAACCCACCAAAGACTATACACTCATCAATGTAACTATTATTCAAACCATACAACTATCCACGCTATTAATCCATATAAACTAACCGATCACATAACATTTCAACAGATTTCATCTCTACAATTATCTGTACTATAAATCAACTTTTGACTAACCAACTATATCACATTCTAGTAACCTCATCTTTACAGTCAGTGGTTATGGTACAGTTAGTAAGTGGTTATAATACAGTTTTAAAGTCACAGATCAGTTAGTAACAGTTATGGTATTATACATATAACATAAAACAGCAATTGTTAGTAATTTTTACACAATGTCAGTGGTTATGGTACATGTCAGTAGTTATGGTACCGTGCGCTATTTTACAGTTATACACACAATTTACACTCCCACTAGACAGCAGAGCTCTAACTTTCTAGTAGGACATACAAGTTAACCAATTCACCAACTACAATATATTTAACAACATTTACAATAATCCCAACTATTCTAACTGGCCAGCACCTCGAGAGCTTTCGATCTATTTATACACCAGAGATTCGATAAGTTCTTCGCTGCCCAGACACCACGTATAGCGAACTAGAGGGCAGAATTTACACAGTACCCAGCTAGTCTATTAAACTATCAATAAGCTAGTGGCTGGATTTACAACAGAGCACACTTAGTTAAGATAGGGTGAAATCTAGCAAACTATAATATACAACAGAGTATGCTAGTCTCCCGGTCCCCCCGACCTAGCGAACAAAATTTACACCCTAGATACGCTAGTCAAGACAGGACACCGGTGTCCGACATGAGCTATTTACACCACAACTCAGTCTGACCCAAACCACCTATATTAGACGGGCTGACTACAGAGCGTCTAATTTCCAGATAAGTGTTGCGCATTTCACTTCTTCCTTCTACTGAAGGGGCCAATACCAATAACCGGTTCCAAATATAAAACCCCTTGTGGGTCTACCGCTCTAACGGTATCAATCTCACCTGTTAATTTCTGGACCTGGGTTCACTCATAGACGGAACAATCCGGGACTCACTGCGCAGAAGCCGATGATCTCCTGGACAAAAGGCCAGTGGCGCCGAGACGAAAGGAGGTCCACGCAGTAGAAGTCCAGGATTGTAGCGTAGAAGGTTTGGTAAAAGTTTACCGTCTCAAATCTCTGTGCCAGCTTCCGTGCGATGAGGTTCCCGGCCCAATTGCACCAGAAATGTTGCAGTGTAAGCATGCAGAAGCCAAACACAGAAATATTGGACACAGGTCTTCAGGAAGTAACAGGCCTTTATTCACATTACCGATCGGGTCTCAGATGAACTCCTGTTCCAAAGGATCTGAGAGACCAACACATAGTGTACATTCCTTATATAGCACTATAACTCCTCCCATTAATAGCTACACCCACATATACCTTTAACCAATCAATGAGCAGAATATAGACTTGTACATCTAGTCAAACCACATGGCTCATCCAAGACAAAGGAAATAAGTGCAATTTCAGTTCCTGCATTCCTGCACATGCTCAGTACACTGATGACAGTATCCTAGCTACATGTAGCTAACCAACTGACACAACATACACATATGCCACGTGGAGATTTTGGCCTACTAAATTTTAACCATGCTGGAATCCCATCACAATTTCACTGAGTTTTCCTAATTTATATTTCTTATGGCATAAAATGATGTGATAAACCTTGACCTCCGCAGGAGGGGCCGACTGACCACTTGGGTACATTGGTCATGGATCAGAGATCTCTACAACTAGAAAGGCATAATTCAAAGAAATTAATTTCAGGTTGTGGTCTGATGCCGCAGAGGACCCCTGCAACTAATCGCACTGCACATTACTCCCTCCCAGGGCCGGCGCTTCCTATAAGGCGAACTAGGCAGCCGCCTGAGCGCTCTATAGAGAGCGCTCAGGCGGCTGCCGCAGTGCCTCACCTCCCCTGCCCTGCTGTAGCGTGGCCGAGCTCCTATCCGGTCCGCGACCCGCCCGGACTGAAAGGAAGTACACACTGAGTGTGCACTTCCTGTCAGTCCGCCGGGTCGCGGACCGGATAGGAGCTCGGCCACGCTACAGGGCAGAGGGGTTGAGGTGAGGAGAAGCTGCTGGGAGGGAGGGAGGGGGGAGATGATGATGGGGGGGGAGGGGAGATGGGATGGTGGGGGGGAGATGGTTTATTGGCGGGGGAGATGGGGGAGATGACTGATGGGAGGGGGGGAGATGGTTGATGGAGGGGGGGGGAGATGGGAGGGGAGATGATTGATGGAGGGGGGAGATGATTTGATGGAAGGAAAGGCAGAAGACTACTTGGGAGGGAAGGGGAAATGATTTGATGGGGGAGATGATTACGGAGGGGGAGATGATTGATGAGATGATTGATGGAGGGAGATGATTGATGGGGGGAGATATGATTGGATGGAGGGAGGGGGAGAAGAAGAGAAGATCATGGGGGAGAAGAAGAGAAGATTACGGGGAGAAGAAGCGATTACGGGGGGGAGGGGAGAAGAAGACAAGATTACAGGGGAGAGAAGAAGCGGAGAACACAGGGAGGGGGGGGAATAAGAGGAAAACACTGGGGGAGAAGAAGAGGAGAACACGAGGGGTGGGAGATGAGAAAGTAGGGGAGGGAGAGACCACTAAAGGAGGGAGGGGGCAGTGGAGAGACCGCTAAGGGAGGGGGGGTGGAGGATAGACCACTAGGGGAGGGTGGGGGGAGAGGAGAGACCACTAATGGAAAGTCGGGGAGAAAAGGAGACCATTAAGGGAGGTGCGGGGGAGAGGAGAGACCACTAAGGGGCAGGGGAGATATCTAAGGAATGGAAGGGAGAGCTCTATAGGACAGGGGGACAGGGAGCTCTTTCACACCACGCACACACACACACACACACAATGCATCCCTATACACACAGAAACACAACATGCTTCCCTTACACACAGAGAAACACACAATGCAAACCTTACACATAAAGACAATGTATCCTTTGCACATATACACAGAACACACACAATGCATCCCTTACACACACATGCAAACACACACTGTTTTTCTTACACACACACAGAAACACAATGCATCTCAACACACCCCTTACAGACACACACACTGCATCCCTTACATACACAGAAACACACTTTGCATCCCTTATGCATACAAACACAGATTCACACAATGCATCCCTTACACACAACAAGAAACACATAATACATCCCTTATACACAAACACTCACTGCTTTCTATCCCTTACACAAACAACACTGCATCACCTACACAAACTGGTATCCCTATACACTACATTCCATAAGCACACATTAGATCCTCTACAGTAACACATAACACATCCCCTACACACGCTACTCCCTGTGAGCGGACTCATGGGTGGAACATGTAGGTGGACTTATGGGTGGGTTTTATGGGCATACTCACCGTCAGGCCCTGGGGCCCAGACCTTGAGCTATGTAAGAGGCCCCAAAAAATTTAGCTGCTTCCCGTTCTCCCAGAACATTGAATTTTGTGACCACAGTTACAAACAGCCTCCAGAGATCCTGTTCTACACCAGACCAGTGGAGCCAGACTGCAGCCAGAGCCCATCACCATCCTCATCTGATTGTAAGTAGACAATCTAGTATATTATTAGTGACACTAATCTCTAATTTACCTCACATTAAATGGACACTATAGTCCCCAGAACCACTGCAGCTTAATAAAGTTATTCTGGTGTCTATAGTTTGTCCCTGCAGGCTTTTTAATGTAAACACACACTGTGTGCAGCACTGGCATTAGTTCATATGGGTGGGGCATTGCGATGTTCCGGGGGGGAGGAGGGGGGCGGCAAATCTTTCTTTTGCCTAGGGCTGCAAAAATCCTTGCACCGGCCCTGCTCCCTCCTGCTAAGTGCTAAGTGGCCTCTCCTTGCAAGGTCACCACGTTGATCTTTTAGCACAGTGGTCTGTCTGAGTGTGAGAAGGGATGGGAAGTAACATCACATCCCCTGCTATCCTCTCCTGCAGAGTGCTTTCGTTGTCTCTGAACTGTGAAAAGAAGCAGCAGTCTGGCAGAGACAGCTGCTTGAAATGGATGGGGAGAGGAGAATTGAGATTGGAGCAGTGCCGTCTTTAACGCGGGGAAAACGGGGCAGCTGCCCCAGGCCCAGTTGTTCCTGGGGGGCCCCAGAGCAATTGCCCCATGGGCCCCACAATTTGCGCAGCCCCCATGGACCTGGCACCGGCCTGCACACTAAAGAGGGTCCCCGGTGAGCATGTGTCAGCAGGGGCCCGGTCGGGCGCTATGAGGCTTAAACAGCGCGACCGAACCCCTTCCTGTTCAGCAGCCGGCTGGGAGGAAGTGAGTGCCGCACATCACTTCCTCCCACCGGAGATCAGAGCCGTGCGGGAGGAGGAAGGCAGGGAGGAGGGGAGTTCTAGAAGATAACCTGAGGGTGGCTAAATGTAGCATGTGTGTCAGTATGCCTGTGTATGTGTGTCAGTATGTCAGTATGCCTGTGTGTGTGTTTGTCATGGTGTGTATGTGTATGTCAGCATGCCTGTGTGCTGTCAGTGTGTCTGTGTCACTATGTCTGTGTGTATGTCAGTATGCCTGTCTGCATGTCAGTATGTCTGTGTGTGTGTCAGTATGTCTGTGTATCAGTATGCCCGTGTGTTTCAGTATGCCCATGTGTCAGTGTGCCTGTGTTAGTGTATGTCAGTATACCTGTGTCTGTGTGTCTGTGTATGTCAGTATGCCTGTGTGTGTGTCAGTATGTCTGTGTGTATTGCAGTATGCCTGTGTGTGTGTGTCAGTATGTCTGTGTGTGTGTGACAGTATGTCTGTCAGTATGCCTGTGTGTGTTTGTCAGTATGCCCGTGTGTGTGTGTCAATACATCTGTCAGTGTATGTGTCTGTGTGTGTTTTAATATTTCTGTTAGTATATGTCTGTGTGTGTCAATATATCTGTCAGTATGTATCTGTGTGTGTCAGTATGTCTGTCTGTGTGTGTATGTATGTATGTATGTCAGTATGTCTGAATGTGTGTCAATATGTCTCCCAGTATATATTTGTGTGTCAGTGTATGTGTGTGTCAGTATGTATCTGCGAATTTGTCAGTATGTCTTGTCAGTGTATATGGCTGTATAAGTAAGTTTTGAATCTCTCTACTTTAGTTCCCCCACTGCATTGGGGTGAAAAGTGTGATTGGAGGTTGGATGTAATTGGGGTGGGCACTAATATTAAATCACCAACTGACCAGAAGGTGAGGAAAACAGACACAAGTGGGATGTCTAGGCAGGAGGAGTGTGATGTGCCCCCAAAGTCAAGTGTGATGTGCACCCAAAGCACAGTTGTGAGGAGATTAAAGGGAAAACTAAGTTGGTTAGGTGGGTAACAAAATTTGGATGAGATGGAGAGTTACTGGAGGGTGATGGGGAGACAATGGGTGACTGACGAAAGTGGGGGACTGGATGAGCCTTCTAAGGGCACTCCCCACCTGAGAGAACTTGAAGGAGATGACCAAAGCACTCCGCACCTCGATTGGGAATGACAAACAGCTCCTGAGAGCTGACCTACATGGGCTGACAGACCATGTGGCACACGTGGAGGCCGACCATGACAACCTAATGGCGGCCCAAGCGGCCACTACCTCAACCCTTGAATTCCAGACGTCCCAACTACAACACATGGTGCTACATATTGAGGACCTCGACAACAGAGGTAGGCACCAAAATCTTTGCATACGGGGAATACCAGAGGGGGAAGACTCTACCACACAACTCAAGACACAGCTCATGGGCATATTTAACAGGCTTCTGAACAGAGCAGAAGACACCCCTACTGAGACATTGAGACCCAGGGAACCACCAGATGCCCCACTGAGAGACATGATCTGTTGCCTAGCTCACTCCACCCTCAAAGAAGACATTTTACAGGCGGCCCCGAACTCACAAGAAATCAGATATGACGGCCATAGCCTACAACTGTTCCCTGACCTGTGCCCTGCCACACTGGGATTTTGACAGGCCCTCAAACCCCTCACCCATGAACTAGTGGCACAGAAAATCCGATACCGCTGGATATTCCCAATGGGACTGGCAATCTCTAGGCCTGAAGGTCCACGTCCAGTACGCTATCAACGAGACCTAATGGCCATCTCGGGCTATCTCCAGTTGCCACCCATTAACATGCGCTGGCCTGACCCGCTGGACTTTTACCGCCTGACACCTGAACCACCCGAACAGGCACTGCCACTATGGAGGAACAGAAACCGGATGAAATCCATGCAACCCGCAGGGGCACAAAACTAATCGCTAGGGGCATGTCTATTAAACAGTGAACAGCCTGTGGCTGCTCACTGTAAAAAAAAAAAAGGTCCCCCCTCCTGAGCCCCCACCCGCGACGTAAAGTACTTAATCCACTAATCAGAGTGTTATGAGTCAAATTACACAGCGTAGGAAAATTCCAAAGAACTTTCCCACGCTGTGTAAAATGACACAGAACACTCTGATTGGTGGATTTCAAACCAACCAATCAGAGTGCTGTGACAGGTAGATGTAGAGATTTTATAATGTAGAGACTTCCCCCAATTTGTATTTAGGGCCCCCACCTACCACTCAGGGGTGGGGGCCAGGGGGGAGGACATTAGGTCCCCCCTTATTCTAGTTTAGGGCCCCCACCCACCGCTCAGGGGTGGGGGCCAGAATGGAGGACATTAGGCCCCCCCGTTATTATAGTTTAGGGCCCCCACCCACCGCTCAGGGGTGGGGGCCAGGGCGGAGGACTTTAGGTCCCCCCCCCTTATTCTAGTTTAGGGCCTCCACCCACCGCTCAGAGGTGGGGGCCAGGGGGGAGGACATTACGTCCCCCCTTATTCTTGTTTAGGGCCCCCACCCACCACTCAGGGGTGGGGCCTAAGGGGGAGGACATTAGGGCCCCCACCAATTTGTATTTAGGGCCCCCACCCACCGCCACAGGCTGCTCACTGTTTACTAGACATGCCCCTACTCGCGGTATAGCGAGTAGGGGCACAATTTCCTAATACTAATTAATTTTTACTTAGTATTAGTAAATTTGGCTGAAAGACCAATTTAGGTCTTTCAGCCTTTTGGTAGATAAATCCCTAATACCTAGTCACCTGGGGGGAGGGGAGTTCAATTTGTATTTAGGGTCAGACATTAGGTCCCCCCCAATTTGTATTTAGGGCCCCCACCCACCGCTCAGGGGTGGGGGCCAGGAGGGAGGACATTAGGTCCCCCCCTAATTCTTGTTTAGGGCCCCCACCCACCGCTCAGGGGTGGGGGCCAGGGGGAGGACATTAGGTCCCCCCCAATTTGTATTTAGGGCCCCCACCCACGGCTCAGGGGTGGGGGCCGGTGGGGAGGACAATAGGTCCTCCCCCCTTCTTTTACTTTAGGGCCCCCACCCGCCGCTCAGGGAGGGGGGACCCTTTTTTTTTTTTTTCACAGGCTGCTCACTGTTAACTATACATGCCCCTACTCGCGGTATAGCGAGTAGGGGCACAATTTACTAATACTAAGTAATTTTTGGTAGATAAATCCCTAATACCGTGGGAATAAGGGAGTTATCCACCAAGCGGCTGCAAGAAAAATCCCGAAATGCCGGAGTTCCAAAGTGCAGAAGTTGCCGAAGTTGCCAAAGTTCCGAAGCGTCAAAGTCCCGAATTGCCGAAGCCCCGAATTTCGGAATGCCAAATATTTTCCCCATGCACATGCCTATTGTGTAGTGGTCTAAGAGTGATTTCCACCACAGGAGGGCTCGGTGACCCAGCGACTGGCTCGCTCTGAGGACCCTTGTGAATGAGAAATACAGTACTTTGTATATAGTTGATAGCCTGTTATTGTTAAAGGACGCTCTGCCGGGCTCCCCAAACAGTAGATGGGGGACCCTCCTGACGCCTTCGCCCTAGGGCACGGGGGAGAGGAGTCATTGAAAACCCTACCCCCAGTAACCGTATAACACCTGGTCTACGAACTTTCCCCCCCTTTTGACCCTACTCTTCACTCACCAGATACACTCCCTCCCCCACTAACCCCCCACACACGATGGCACAGGCATATACTCAAGCGGAGATCAACCTAATGTCCATAAATGCAAAAGACTTGAACAAACCAGAAAAGCGATCTCACGCCCTCAGGCAATTTCATAGCCAAAGGGTGCACATAGTCTTTATACAAGAAACACATTTCAAGGCAGACTCCCAAACTGACAGACCACCACTTCACACAATGTTTTCGTAGCAATAACCTGGAGGGAAAATTGAAAGGTGTAACCATACTGATACATAGGGCTCTACAGTTCACGCCCATTAAAGTGCTCAAGGATGACTTGGGAAGATACATTTGCGTGAAGGGTAGTGTGGGTGACCGAACATACACATTAGCAAACCTCTACATGCCAAACAGGAACCAAAGTCGGTTCCTTAAATCAGCCATGGGAGCAATCTGGTGCTTCACCGAGGGCTGCCTCATCATGGGAAGCAACCTCAACATCGCGCTGGATCCCTCACTAGATACTCAATGAGGCGCTCCTGTCGGACCCGTTGGTGACAGCAGATTTTCATGAACACCTCACTCACTACTTTTGGGAAAATGAGACTACAAAACTAGGCAAGAACCCAGGCCCAGACGGACTCCACACACTTGCTTCTCCCCCATCTCCTCAAAGCCTACAATTCCATTAGAGACTACCATGAGATACCCACAGACATGCTGGCAACCAACATCACCCTGATTCCCAAAGAGGGCAGGGACGCAGAACAGTGAGACAATTAAAGGCCAATCTCCCTACTAAATTGTGACCTCAAATTGTTCACCAAAATTTTATCAACACGCCTTCAACGATTTCTCCCTGACCTGGTACATCAGAACCAAGCAGGATTTGTTCCAAAATGAGAGGCGCGGGACAATACGATCCGAGCGCTGTCCCTGATCCACTACGTGCAGCAGCGGTTGGAAGGCCTTCTCCTGCTCTCTACAGACACGGAGAAGGCCTTTGACAGAGTCAATTGGGACTATCTGTTCGCGGTCCTGAGGATGGGCCCATACATGCAAGGCTGGATTAAGCCCTATATACGACACCTACAGCCAGAATATGCCTGAATGGGGCATTCACAGAATCCTTCCTGATTCTATATGGCACGCGGCAGGGATGCCCCCTCTCGCCTCTGCTCTTCGTCCTTGCCCTCGAACCCTTCCTGAACGCGGTGCGACACAATTCCCAGATACAGGGACCCCAAGTGGAAAAGGACAAACACTCCGTAGCGGCATACCCAGATGATTTATTGTTCTTTGTAACAGAACCTGAGGTGTCCCTCCCGACAATCATGACAGCATTTTAAAAATATGGAAACATCGCAAATCTCAAAATTAATTACACAAAATCAATCATCCTGAACATCTCCACACCCCGAAAGATAGAGAAAGGGCTAAGGAACAAATACCCCAATACATGGGCAAAGTCGAAACTGAAATACTTAGGGGTCTGGTTAACTAGAGACCTCACACAAGTCTATCAAGCAAACTTCACCCCATACTACCCAGAGTGCAAAGAGACCTGGAAGACTGGTCCAGACCGGGCATTTCCTGGTTTGGTAGGATAGGGAGAGTAAAGATGACACTCCTACCCCGAATACTTTACCTTCTCCAAACAATACCCTGCAAAGCTTTCTTCACTTTCCTATGTACATTGGTACTGAAATTTATTTGGCGCAAAACCAAAGCCAGAATTAGCCACGACACTGTTACACGTCCAAAGACGGAGGTCGGACTAGCCCTACCAGACTTTAGACAATACTACCTGGTGACACAGGTAGTATTAAAATAACAGAGTTGGACAAACAGGGAGTTACCAAACTCTGG